TCAATGCCGATTTGGGCTCCCCAGATCAATCCCGTTGACGGGTGATTGCTGATGGCAAAAAGATCGATAGAACTAGCTGAGATACATGCAAGGACCCGGATGGTGTAGTGGTGAAGTGCGCTGCTCCCCGGTAAGGACAACAGCGCGTGTTCGTTCCCCACTGCATACACCTGTGGTCCGGAGTTTTGCAAATATCTCAGCATTTCATACGAGTTGTAATTCGAAACATACCCTGCCATTAAGAAAGAAAAGGCAGTAAATAAAAGAGTTTAAATTATTTGTGTTCAATTGGGTAGGAATTTCTTGAATGTTTATTATTTTTGGTTATTTTCCACCTTTTGCTTCAATACACCGTAACGAAGTTAATATAAATCTGTTTATTCTGCTCCACTTATTATGAGCGTATCCAGAGCGGTTAGTATTTTTACTATCCGCGTCCTTTACCTCTTTTCTCCAAGTTTTTTGTTTTACTTCTAATCTCACAATCTTTAGCTCTCGCTTTGGCTCACAACTGGTCCAGTTGAACGAATTTGGTTTTACCGATGAAGCAGCTAATTTATCTGTTTTGGAATCGACTGACGGTAACGTGGAGGTAGCGTTGGATTTACTGATTGCCATGCGGGAGGAAGGAATTTGATTTCATGGCTTACTGAGATGCATAATTTGCATAAATGATATGGAAGATTCAACTTTTAACGTCATTCATGGTTTTCAGTGGTTCTTTTAGAAATGCTTTGAGCAGATCCTTACTAAACTGTTGAAATTAATTAGTATATTAATTTAGCACCAGTGTTTAATAAAACACTGAGTACCCTAATATCTTTCTTGTTCTTTTATTGCTTCATAAAATTTCAATTACTTGAATTTTTGGTGAATAGGAGTGAGGGAGCATGTTGAGGAATAATCTATGGGGCTCCTGATTGACTATAACGAATGCAATATATTCTTAACTTTGAATTTCAGTTTATATAGAAACTTTCAGCTTTTTGTTCTGTTAATCTCCCTTTTTATTAATGAATACATTTCTACAGCGTGCAAATTTTAGAAAGCAGTTCGATGTTACCCATTCAATAGAGCGGCAAGATTCGATTTCTAGCACTATCCAGTGATCGAGTTTCGACTTCATCAATCGTACTATTAGTTCTTATGCTGAAGGTGTTTTGGTTAATGAGTTCCAAGTTTAGATATTTGAAATTTGGGCCAGTTGACCTGATAGTACTATCAGAAATCTCCTTTGTTTGGATCTTTACTGCCGAACTTTCGTGCGAAGCAACTTTTTGAGTTGATTAAAGTAGTCCATAGACGACAGATCTGTTTGTTAAGTAAGTTAGTTGGCTAAGAAGGAATTTCGCTACTCGAGCCTGTCGATGTTTTGGGTCAGCACTTTTAATGCATCAGCGTGAGCATTCTAATAGAGCAGAATGGATGGTTTACAGCTGACTTATTAAAGTTTTCTTTTTTGTTCCTTTCAGCAATTACTTCGATTTGGGCAAAATACCTTTCTGTTGAAACTATCCCACAACTTTTAAAAAAACGTGATGAATAATGCTTAACATGGGCATCACAACCATAGTAGTCGTGTTCTCAGGATTTAAACTCAACTTAGGTATCTGTCTGTCATTAGTCTGCGTCCTACAATTGAATTGTACGTCCCTGATTAACGTATCGTATAATACATATTTCTTAGAAAAGCTGGTATTTCCATTTAAAAATATTCACCTGATATACGGCGTACTCAAGGAGGTCCAGGTTTTTTTATCCTATCGTATAACTTGTATCAATTTTCTAACCGTAGAAGGATGAAGAGCTTGATTTGCTATGAGCGCGCGCGGTGCCGTACCAAGGGCCACGTGTGTAGTGCAGGATACGTCTAACCGTTATTCAATGCACACCCCAAAACGATAAACCAGTTGGTTTGTTACAAATGAGTGTGGCAACAATTCCACAGAGCAACGTGGACACTGATTAACAATGCATCCTAGCTGAATCAGGAAGTGAGCAACTGAACTTGTAGTAGTATTCTGGCTAAATGAAACCCTGCTCAAGAGTTTCGGGCCTATTTAAACAAAAAAAAAGCCTAAGCCGTTAAATTTGATGCGGACATGCCGAAAATTATGGTATGTTTTCTCCATGGAATTTGTATACTTGTTCATCAAGCAATTCCACTTCCAAGAATTGTTCGAAGTGCTCCGAATTTGGTGGTTTTAAAATACTTATATTTTCGGAATTCCGTTGCTTAGGACAATGTTGACGATCATCGTCGACAATTTTCTATTTCTTTAGAGATCACAGTAAGGTACAAGCTTCGTAGGAGAATAAAAGGTGTTGATAGTCATTAAAATCAGGTAACAATTACCTTTTTCTTAAACGGTTATTATTAGTGTTTTTCCTTGTTTCCTTGTGATCAAAGTAATTTGGTTTCATTTGGTGCAGCATGTTTATGCATTGTCACTTGAGAATGGAAGGAAACTTTGTAATTTCTCGAATGAAGCTCATTCCATTTTAACGAGTTAATCCAGTAAATTCAGTTGTTTTTCATGGTAATGAGAAAGAACGTATGAAGAACTTCACAACGAAGTTGTGCGATGAGAGACTTTCGGATTTCCTATAGATGGAAAATATGAACGGCTCCTACCCTTCATTGTATACCCTAAGGCTGCTGAACTTGCACTGTTCTTTTGTTAAACTACAAAGAGCAATTCTTGTTTACGAAGGGTGGATTTGAGGAAAGACATGTTTTCAGGAATGCCACCAACTTTCCAAACAAATCCAAAATCCTATCTCTTCAAATCTAAAGCATGAATACTGAAAATGAAGAAGGAGAACTCATGTATAGTTCTAACTAAAAATACCATAATCTCTTACCAATAACTGATGTGCTTCAAACAGAGAAGTTCAACATTTTATAGAAGATATGATACAACGCTCCGTGTTGACTCATGCTCTCATCTCTTCGAGCCATTGTGTCAGATTTGATCTTATTTTATTTTGGAATATGATTTAGTCCGGCTTCAGAGCTCCAATGATAGAGCGGAGCACCCGGAGAGAAGCATGTGTTGTCTCTTAGCACCTGCAAACGAGAAAATCTCTTAGGTATGGATAACGACAGTAGTAGCGTATGCTATTATGAAGTCGAGCTGTGACTAGTGTACGTCGTGTATATCCTATCAAAACCAGATATTGACATTATAGTGTAGTAAAAATCCTCTGTTAAGGCTATTTTTCACCTGACCTAAGTCGATTGGCCTTGGAAGAGGTTTTGAAAAAGATGCAATTTAGCTATAATATACTCAACTTTGATACAAAAATTTGATACAAAGTAATCGCTACAAACATGAATATATTTTCGAATGTAAATCACTAGCCTACTCAAATATAGAGATACTGGTTTAAAAAAGCTACTGTCGCCGAAGTCAGTGATTATGGATATTTCTGGGAACTAATCGGTATATCGATTACCCGGTCACCATCCGTCCAGTACATCACGTACAGATTGCACATCTCATCCTCCGCAGTCGCACCCATCTCTACCACACGATTTTCGTCGTTTTTCAGAATACATCTAAAAATAAATCATTTTCGATTCCCAGTTAGATAGCTTGGAAAAGCACAGGTCACATGCCCCTCTGTAAAGTTTTCCAGTTGTTATTTTTGATTGTAGAATTCTCTAAATACTAGGCATTTTTTCACAGAAATAATAGGAAATTTGAGTTTGAGAACTTTAGGAGGTGGTAATCCTTGCCGGATATTGTTTTAATGCCATATATGTCGTTTTACTTTTCACATGGTCTATATGGCCATCAATCGATACGTATGCAATGAATTTAGTCGTAGTCTGTGTATAAATGACTGCAAATAGATGGGTTCATCGATTATTAATTGGTTTTCACTCATACTTGATTAGAACTGAAAAAACAACTAAGCGGACTTATAATGTAAAACTTTCTATTTAGTGCATATTCTTTTCTTCATGGTAGGTCATTATGTGAAAATACAACCACGTGAAGATGAGATATTTTGAGAACGTGGACCACAAATCAGATTCAAACTCGCTGTTACACTTTCTGGGAGCCCACTTCTTACCCACTGCACCACTGAGGTTCTTTCTTGGTTGGTCATACATGTACGATAAACAGAAGTGGGTTCGTGTAATATGCAAGAGGATGTATAATTGGGTGCTTAGATGGAAAGAAATTTGAATATCCAAAAGATTTTTGAGTCTGCGCTACTCTCCAGACGTAGTAATTCCATATCTACATGTTCTGACGGGGTTAGCACAGTAGGGTATTTCCATGAGATCTTTTCGCTTTGGATATTTCGGTGGTCCAAAAACAGTTTTGCAAGCAGATATAAAGCACTTAGTGTTATTTCGTGCAGGAGAGCAGAATTTACCATGTATTCGACCTATTCGTAGGACCGTAGAGGCTGAATGTGTATTTGTCCTATAAAATGGCTTAGGAATGGAGAGGTTACCGATGTATAAAGCCAACGGTTTTACCATCCCCGGCTAGACTGGCTTGAATTTGTCAACCTCTGGGTAACGTAGGTCTTGCATTAGTCATGCCGCGGGATCGAACTTGCGACAACATATGTATTGCATAGTACTTCTAACCATTAGTTTACATACATTCCCTCAAAAGCAATGTGAAAGGATAACAACATCCGTAAAAAGTTTTAAAGTGGAATGAGACCCTCCGTTCTGATTATCGTATGTTCAATTTCCACTGGAACCCCTACATTTTTGAAGCCTCAAATATTGATTCATTGAGTAATTTGTTGAATAAGTGGTCAAGTGGTTTACTCAAATATTTTTTTCTCGGCTAGAAAGTGAGAAAGCACGTTCGTACCTGGCAGCAACAATATCTCCTTGACGGATCACCAACGAGTTATTTTGTACTGGTGCGAACATTTGCGGCAGCTGCGGATTGCGTTTACCAATTAAAAACCATTCATCGTCACCGTTCTCGTCCTAAAAAGACAAACACTTTTTTTTGATGAATGGGAACACTTAACAGAAGTTTTATAAACAGTTTACCACCGGACCTCATTAACAACCCATCCAGAGATTTCGACCCCGTGACGATGCGAATGTGTGCGGAATGCGAACGGATGTAGTACGACGTCCTCGTCGATGACGCAAGCAGTTTCGAACGATTCTGAATGAGTAGTACGGTGAATTTGCAGAATATTGGAGAGAAAGTCTATCATTTGAGCAGCCTAACACTCTGTCGCTATAAAGGGTAGAAAAGGATAAAGCTCTTGGCATTGATCAATCCCTGAGAGATGCGCCATGCATTCGACTTCATTAAATATCGTTTGGAGGTGAATGAATTTATATCTGGCCTTTACAATGACTCGCGGTGGCCTACTGATGTGTTGAGCCAGTACTGCTATCCTCTCAGACAAGTCTGGTACCAGTTTGCCGACTCCAATTTGGAACGAAAGTTTGATGGGCCATGGGCGCGGGGACCGATTCCACGTGTGTTGCAGGGCGCCTCCGACCACTGCGCCACACGCGCCCTTTCTGTGGCTATACGAGTGCGGATTGTTAGTCATTTTATTAATACGGTGATGGTGGATGTTATGTACCAAAAGTATAAAAAGATACACAGAAGAACATAGAAGATACTAGGGATATGAAAAATATAGCGATTGTCAATAAGGAACAGAAAGGCCGAACTGTAGGGAAAAAATGCAAAGCTATTTGTCAAGGGGGAGGAGTGCGCTTCCCCCGAGGTGAAACACGTATAACTCACCGCGACCGCGACCGAAAATTAAGCGGCAACATCAAGAAGTTGCAGAGACAGCGAAATTGGTAATTGGTATTGGTAGTAACAGCGAGCGAAAACTCCATTCCAGTTCCACCCCAATCTTCTGTTTGCTCAACGATAAACCAAAATCAATACTCATTTAATGAAAACTCTATCCTTCATTTAAAGCATAACTAATAAGGCGACAAGGCAAACGTCCTCACATTGAAATATTAGCGTATCGGCTCTGTCCACATAGGAAGGAACTCAGTTGTGCGTTCGAAAAGATGCAGAATGGTATATAAGATGTATAGAAAGAGCTCTGAGCCGCAAAAGAAAGCCAAAAGAGTACGCATCGAATTCAATATGCAGCACAGACAATGCCCACCAACGTACATGTCTAAGACAATTCGTTCAGCTGAGAATGTTTTAAGATGGAAGAACATACGTAGTTCATTACGTAACGTCTTTTGTTCCAGTGAAGCCAAGTGTTTGAAAATAATATGACGAAATCAGTATGTGAATAGTTCACAGCAACCCTATTCTGGGTTAGTCCTCAGCTTTTATCCATAATTTGATTTGTGAAAGATTAAAACACTGGACATTGGTTAATCTCTGTTGGTCATCTCATAGCCTATACCAACTTCCAGTGACCTAAAGACAAATTGAACGGTGTTTATCATGCCAATAAGATCGAAGGTCCACGCTGGCCTCATTTTCCCATGGAGGGTGTCATTTCCTCACTTTCCAATTTTCTCATGAAGGAGGTGATAAACGAATTTCAAAAATACTTAGTTCTCCATAAAGTTACTTCATGGAGAATCAAATATAATAAGAGTGAAGGTTATACCGACAACACTATTATCATGATTGATCACATGCAGGTTCAGAGCTTTCGTTCAGAACATTGAGTATACTGATTAGCAATCATGAAACGAGAAAACAAAGAATAATCAAGGGGAACAGTAAGTGACTGAAGAAGCAGATTCCGATGGCCAACATCTACAGCGTAGCTTGGGTCAACGCAGAATATTCAAGCCTACCTATACTTTTCGGTGGGAGGAGTCCTCCGGTAACAAGCAGCATTGTTGCAGCAGTCTTCGGTTGCATTTCTTCGGTGTGCTGCACCGTTACTCCGCTTTGATCTGGTTCATCACGATCTTCCATGTAGTGCACCTGGACGAGTTTATTCTGATCTAATGTTGTATTTTTTCCAATTATAGAGAATTATGGTAAATTCGGCGTCAAAAATGACTCCAGAAATAAATGAGTATAGAAAGAAGAAGGACCGTACAATTTCATTGCTTTGTGTTCAGAAGTAAAATTCTTGCCTGCATGACAAGATAGTTGATACCAGAGTCTCCGCCCACACGGAACGCGACACCTAGAGATTTCAGCTTTAAAACAGCGGAAATATGAAAGTGTAGGAAGGAATATTTATGTATGATATAAATGGAAAAGTATAAAACGTTTGGCATTGATCAACTCCATGGATGCTCTGTGCACTCGACCCCATTCTGGCATCGTAGTATTGACTGAGGTCAGATATAGCCATTATATGGCTTATGGGGATCTACTAATGTGTAATGTTAATACAACCACAACGATGCTGAGATGTTCGCAAAATTTGGACCGGCGCGTATCACACACTGCACTACGGAGGTCCTTGCTCTGCGCTTTTCTCAGTTAATTTTTAAGGTCAATGTTTCATCGTACCAAAGAAGATGGTACTAATCTAATTACTCCTAATGAGTGAAGGGGTTGGTTAGCTCGAGAACCAGCTCGGAACCAACGACGACGTATGTTTTTTGGGCCACCTGTAACTACTGTAAAATTTGGTCAATATACGAGAACAGGAACACTATTCCCTGGTATTTTCCAGTATGGGAATATCATGTAATGTACCTTTGGGTAGATGTAGATCGGGAGCATGCTTCGCCCATGCGTAAAGGATGGCCGGATTTGATTTGCAGGTGGGTGCTCTTTCCAGTCCATCTGGTATTGTCGTCATTTCTCCGCAATCCCTATAATCAGGAACGAAATAGGATACAGATACGCTAATAAGCGTTTATGGATTCAAAACAATAGTTACGTTTTCCAGTAGAAAACAAAATGAATCATTGTGAAATAAAACTGTAATAAATGTCATACTCGTTCATGCATGTACTATCACGTGCGTTGCTTACGAAATTTCTTATCGTTCTTCCAATGGAATGAATATACGAGAAATAGAATGTCTGATATAAAGCTCATTTTTCGGAGTAGTCATCTCTCGACTAATCAGTATCACCATAACCTAATAATGGCCTAATTCAGTATTTATTGTGGATATTAACAGCTCTTTTGCTACGTTTCAAAACTTTTAAACAAACAAACTAACAAACACTAACCAAATTAAAAGAAGGTTGATAAATACTTAATTTGCAACAGTAACAAAAAACTCATTCAAAAACTCTATGAATTCCACTGTACATCACTTCCTGAACCAAATATGTTTTTTCGCGCTCATTTTAAGAAGTAACTCAACTGCTTAGATCAGAAGAAACGGGTTCGTATATGATAACGAAACAGAAAATCGCTGATCACAGTAACCCACCAGACTTCGTCATCACTTCCTGGTTCGTCACAGCCGAATAGGAGAATGTGATGAGCGTTGTGAGACTCGACATTGGTTTTATATCCGGCTAAACTCACATATACCTCGTTTCATCCCGAAAATGGAACTCCAAAAAACTTTAAGCAGGTCACGATAGGATCTCAGAAGTCATCAACACACCTTTTCATTCTTGGTTTTTGTGAAGTATCCAATATAAAATTTCGCTATAGGTTTTAAAAACTATAAGGACAGCGATATGATGGGTCAAGTGCAGTATAATATTTGTTAAGTTAAAAAAAGATTACTGGTAAAACAGTTCATCATTGCCGAGCACAATCATTAGCGATAAAGTCGGATTTCTGCAATTTTCGTCCAAAGTAATCAGATTTTAACGCTTGTTTTTTAGACTTCAGGAGCGGAAATAATAATGATCTTGAATGTGTCACACCACAAAGGAAAAGCTACGTAGACAAAGGCCCATTAATGAAAGTAGAAAAGAAAAAAAGCAAAATGAAGAATTCCTTAATGTGAAGCTGATCAGCCTCATACTCTAAGCTAGTTCTCCTTATCTGATAAGAGTTTTCTGTACCAAAACAAATTAAGTGTTTTTGAAGAAAGTGAAGCATTAAATAAAAAGTTAGGCTTTTTTGACCAAGTCCACCGAATGTCTAGAGGCGTACAAGTAAGTTTTTCTCATACTTCCTGGGTCTAGGCTTCCGTCTTTTTTTTTTTGTTTAAAGCGTCGTCTTTCTCTACAGGATAGATCTTTGCTCTATCATAATAAGTAGAAGCTAGCGATCTCAGACGATCTGCTGCTTAAAAAATACTCACTCAGATAGTGCTCTCTTTCTAGATCCAATGGCACGGCCGTACACACGTATGACTCTGCCTGAAAAAAAAACCAGAAGAAACTTTCTATATTCGAAAAAACCGGCTGGCGATCACAATGAGGACGTTCGCTCATCGAAATCAGTCATTGCCATAATTGCTGGCAACCAACGAATTAATTATCGTCTTAGTTTTTCTTTATTTACTGCCTATTTCTTTTCATGGTGGGGTATGATGCGAAATATAACTAAAATGATGTGAAGATATTTGCAGAATTCCGGACCGCAGGTGTTTGCGGTAGGGTCGAGCACTCTACTGACCTTTCCGGAGGCTAACGCATTCTTCACTATACCATGCGGGTTCTTCTTTCCGTCCTTCTCTCAGCCGCTTTCTAACCTATAGTTTGGATCAGCGAAAGGGTTGATTATTGCTTATTACTACTTAAATTATTTTTCCTTTCGTTTTCCTTTTTTCTATTTTCTTCACAGACTTATCAAAAAAAAAAAAAACGAAAGGCGTAATAGCGCTACAGCAGTCACCAATTGGGAGTGGAGCAAAAAACCCGCCAATCACATGACGTCATTCATGTACACAGCCAAAACGTTGCTCCTTTGACAATTTTTACGTTACAAGGTGATGAACTGCTACCACTGGAAACTCATGGGTTATGCTCTTGTGTAGGCTACTCTTTTAATAAATAATTGAATTGGAACAATGTTGAAATGAGACACAACAAAATATCAATATTATACGTTTTCCCGGCGTTTTTTTCTGCAAAGCACTCAAAATTACAGGTAGCGGTTCTGTGAAAAAACGTATTTTTCAAATGGTTCCTGCTCTTTGTGCTTGTTTTCCGACTAATTTTTGCTTTTCTTTTTAATGCGCGTACAGTTTCAACGGCTTGTTCTCGAAAGCTCTCTCTCTCTCTCTCAAGAATTACTTCGCTACAGAAGTATCCAATCAGAACTTTGTTCTGTTAGATTTGATAGACGATAGCTAATGATCTTTTACTAGATGGGTGGAGAATTATACCTCTGAGATGCTTATTTCCCACTTCAAATTCTTCGGTTTTCCGCAAAACGTTTATCAATTTTTATTCAAAATGACTTCCCTTAAAGTTAATAGACGACATCACGGTTAAATATCACGACAATAAGCTTCAAAAAACTAAAAGTTCAACGAATTTTAAAATGAGGTGGAATTGAATACGCTTTTAGTAGTGATTCCGAAAAATATGTCATATAGTTTCAATCAATCAAATGGGCACGCGTGGCGCAGTGGTTGGAGGCGCTACTGCGACACACACACAGGATCGATTCCGCGCCCCAGGTCCACCAAGCCCTCCATCCTTGAGGTGTCGGCAGATTACTACTAGATTTGTCTGAAAGGATAGCAGCACTGGTTCAATAAATCGGCAGGTCACCGTGAGTCATTGTAAAGGCCAGATATAAATTCATTCACCTCCAACGATACTTAATGAAGTCGAATGAATGCATGGCGCGTCCCTCAGGGATTGATCAATGCCGAGAGCTTCATGCTTTTTATGGTTTCAATCGGATTCATACAGGCTTTAAAAGGGGCTTCATAGACTCGTAGATTCAACAAGTCTTTCTGCAGGACAAATATGCATGCAGTCCCCTCAACCATGCTATGAATCGAAAATCGAAAAAGAATCGAAAATATGACGCATCTCTGAAGGATTGATCAACGCCGAATGCTCTATCCCCTATTGGTTAAAATCTTGGAACTATTTATGGAGTAACTGAAGTACAAACACTTCCGCCTCCTCGGTTTTCAAACAAAGCATCTAATATTGTATTATTATGCTAATATTGTAATATAGTCTCCTTACAAAATGACGATCCCGCATTTCCATAATGTTGCCGCTGTTTAAATAACCATGGAATCCACGTGTAGGACGTAACAACCACTCAAATGGCACCCATATGCCTCAGGCTAGAGCCTCTATCGATTGCGCTGCGACTGAAGCAGCTACCATGTCTAGACTACGTCACGCTTATGACGTAAGTGGCACAGAACGCTCAGTCCGCCGATTCTCAATGAGCGCCAACATCGACAACATCGCAACCAGTGGTGAACTAGGCCGTCAATGCATGCAGCATGTTTTAATAGTATGCGCATCGATGGCTCGTGGCTTCATCCCGATCTTGATTCACCAAGCCACTCTTCGCCTGGGGCAGGGAAGTTGGTGCTGAACTTGCTCGTGAAAAGTTCACTGTCTTCAGTCGAAGTGAGAACGCTCCAACAAGGCTATCTCCTGACTCCAGGGAGAATGGACTCTACCAGCATTCAACGACATTCATAAAGAAGATGACAATCCTCAAACAGCAGCTGAAGCTGCATGTGAAAAGCTGGAAGACCTTCGTCGACGACGAATGCGTGGAAATGAAATGAATGCGAGAAATGAAGTGCGCGCAGAGCAGAATGGATGAAGTTGCCCTGCAGCACTCACGTGGCCGTGGGTCCAATTTCGTTTCTGATAGCCGGGTGTCAATCGAACTCTAAGCCATGCCTGATTTGTCTTCTAGGGAGGAAACTGTGATTTGATGTATTGGAAGGCCCACGGAATTCATTGTACTGGCCGAACATCCACTCAGCCACTTCTGCGATACTAATGGAGTTGAGTGTATGACGTAACTCCAAGGGATTGTTTAAAAGCGAGTTAATATTTGTGCTTTGTCTCTTTACATTACTAGTATAGGTGATAATAGAGTAAACTGCATCAAAGCAGACGTAGCTGCCTCTAAGTACGTAAAATTCTCACGTTCTTTGTCGAAAATAACCCTAAGACAAAACTCAACCAAAGGTTGTATGAACACTTTGAAAAAAACCAAAGAATAAGAAGAGGTCTTCTTCTTTCTAATAGATGTGACGAGAAATCGCGGAAAAGTACATGATGAGAGATGCACGAGTTGAAAAAAAAGAAGAAAGACCAGAAGAAGAAGAAACCGAAAAAGTTATTAGTGTACAATTTGATAGAACGGTAATAAGCCTAACAGTTGGAGAAGGAAAACTCTACGTCCTTTTGTGAATCGTTCGTGCTCTAACTCCTCAAGAATTTAATTAGATCAACCTTCTCAACGAGAATCAGTAATAATTTTTGTTAGCCAAGCACATTACCCATTAATGCATCCATTCACCACGACAAAGTTCAGCAAACAACACATTGGTATGTCGTTCATTAGAAATGAATGCCATAAATCCACTGCTCTTCATTGAACACTCGATCCGGCAATGTTGACTGGATGACTACAGGAGGTATCAAAAACTCCAAATGCATTTTTGGCTCTCTAAAATCCGGAAAGACTACAACGAAGAGCTTACATTTTATGCGAAAACTCTGCCGGCACCCAAATCCTCCATTGTGGCCCTGATGATCCAAGCCAGGATGAAGCGATAATGAGGACTGTTCGAGAGGCGGAAAAACTGTTTCAATTCCTCTTAGCAACTGCTGACTCGATTCGGATGATTACGATTGAAAAGTCGCACCGCTGTCGACTCTCATGAACTTGATTATCTATATTTACAGCAAACTGCGACGAATGCGTGGTCGCAGCGTTGCATATGAAGTGGAAGTTCTTCAGAGCTCATAGTGTATAAGTTCATTACGAAGCGACTTTAATGCTAAGAATGACTAGAGACTGATATCTGAAGAATTTCACATTAAGACCCAAGAAATATAGTGGAACAAGCGCAGAGATACGGTATCTCAGCTTAGCATGAATTGATAACAAGGACCAGAAGCCCTCCTGCCATTGTTGCACGTGGTAGTTCTGCTGTTGTTCCAAGATCCAAGACTCTAAACACTTTAGCATCATCGCCTTTCGTGCATAAAATTTCTTCGCTGAAAAGGAAATTTAAACAATCACAAAAGCAAACAGTGCAACCCCAGAGCTTTCACTAAGGACTTCTAACTTCAGCTCGAGATAGAATAACCTTGTTATCGCTAATATCCGCAAATTAGTAACATGTGGCATAATAGCGATAACACCCACATTGAAGTAAAGGATTATGCGATTCTGTTAAGAGATAGAGATTAATCTCTATGTGGTGGAGAATGATCTCTATAACATCATTGTGGAATCTAAACAATAACGAGAAAGTCAAGATCATGAGAATCACCATGCCACAACTATCTGCTACTCAGAAACTCATAAGCAGAAGCCCAATGTGGAAATGGACATGATAAAGACTTATATTTGAGATTAGAAAGAAATGAAGAGTGTCAATAAAAGAACCTGGGTTGAGAAGAGACTGCGTCAATCATATGCGCATCACCCTCTACCACGTAGTAGAGGTTGCAATAACTGTGTCCACCAAGGAATGGGAAAAAAGCCACAAGCACAGATTTTTTCGATAGCCAAATCCACTTGTCCCTAAATCGTCTTCGTGGGATGGATATATCGTTCCGGCCGTTCCACTACTAATAATCGACATACTCTTTCAGCAACTAATAAGTGTCGTGGTTCATCCAGTCGCAAAACAAGAACAATCTCAAGAACGTAGTGCCATAACTCATATATTGACTGGGTTTTCACATACTCCAAGATGTTATCATTATATGATACCTAGAAAATCGGAAATCGCTACAGTTATATTATTGAAGAAGTCAATCAACATGCTATCAGCAGCAACTCTCTAAACCGTCAGCCGCTCTTCACTTACAAGCTCTTTATAAAGGTTCCTTTTCAACAGGATTTAAAGAGAAAACTAGTGAACAAAAGAAGAGTGAAGCCACATCCATGGAAAATGAATTTCTACTTGGTGCGTCATTCAAGCTTATCAAAATGAATATTTTTGGATGCTGCAGTTAAATATATCATGTATTCGGATAAACAGAGATCCGACCACGCGCCCATCTGCTTCAGTCAACCGTTATTGGCTGTAACCATAACGAACCTCTCGCACACCACGCTACGTGCAAAGGATGGAGGTATAGCCGGCGTTACCAAAAGCGCAACGTAGATAGAGAGGCTAGATGGTGCATCGGCCATCTAAGTAGGGAATTCATTCTGGACGGCCAATTGACTCCAACGAATAATAGCTAGCGACATAGCTCCGGCGCCATAGGTGAATATTTTGAAAATCAGGTAGGTCACCCCAGAAAACTGATTA